TTTTTTTTATTAATTTTGTACTTAAAATATTCTAAAAGAAACATAACAATATTGTTTTATGTACTTTCACTTTTCACGTATAGTATAACTACTCTTTAAGATTAAGTACTGTGTATCTCAAAAACCAGAGCTAATAAAAATTTTTCATTGTTATTTTCGTTTTTATCACCCCAAAATTAGTAGAAATTGACTAATTTAGTGTAGGAAATATTCAAAAATTTTTGGTGGAGTAAACTTTATTGAAAAGTCATTCTATATCCCTGAACAATGTAAAATAAAAATCGACTTGGTTAATCATTTTTCCTAAATATTTCTGTTATTGTTGAGATCTTTATTCGCTTATGAAGTATTACCATTTCCACAATATGAAATCCTCAATTAAAAATACCTAAATATCTAGATATTTTTCAAAAACTCCGAGTTTATTTCTCAATTCAACACTAGTCATTTTTCCACAATCAAATCAGCCATTTCTGAATAATTTGCAGTTTCATATTCTCTTTGAAAATTATCAAACAGACGATGAATATCGTAACTTCAACTGTTGTTTGAGTTGAAAACAAAAGTATTGTTGAAAAAATGAGTCAAAATGAATAGCAAACATTTTAAGAACACTATTCATTAGCGACTTGTGATACACTGTTTGGAACCTTTGGTGTAGTAATGAATATTACTGGAGTTTCTTCCCAACACCAAACCGTTATTTTTAACACTTCGACACGTGTTTCGATCACCAAGTGATCATCTTCAAGAGGAAGTTTTATCTTCTTCCAGTAATATTCATTAATTAGCGAAGAAAACAAATTATTGTGACCTGAAATAAAAGTGAATTGATATGGGTTCAGGTGAAAGTTCAATTGTATATTAGGTTGTTTCAGAAGTTTTGTCCGTTTTTATGAGTCTACTTTAAACTGTAATATATCAGTAAATCTTTCTCATTAGCCAGTGGGCTATGCTTGAAGACAGGCAATAAACAAATCTAAAGAAATGAACTTTAAATGTTCAAGCCCGTCAATTCAACCTACATAGTAGGTTGAATTGACTGACGCCTAACAGAAAACAACTACTCCACTGGCTAATACAACGAACGGCGATAGACTATACGAGTATCCGACAGGCGTCAGTGCAGGAATCTTCACAGAAAATTTCCTGCATATGCAATTGGCAATACAACTGAAAGAGTCGACCTTCAATTTTGGAACGGGCACACTTGCAGACCGGTTTCGGGCTCATTAGCCACTCATTAGTGCAAGATAGTGGCCATCATCGACCTAAAGTCAATGAAATTCCATAATTGTATTTCCAGAGTATTTCATTTCTCTTCCTAAGTTGGAGAGAACAACAAAATGTCACTCCATCTAGCGGACGAAGTATTAACCAACTGCATATCCGAAATTTGCCCGATTCCTCTGAATAAGGAAAAAAAACTTTCTTATTAGTCAGTGGGCTTTGCTTGAAGATTGGCAGAAAACAAACCTAAAGAAATGAAATTTAAATGTTCAAGCCCATCTTGGATATACCTACACAGTAGGTTGAATGGACTGACGCCTATCAGAAAACAACTACTCCACTGGCTAATACCACGAACGGCGTTGGAATATACGAGTATCCGACAGGCGTCAGTGCAGAAATCTACACAGAAAATTTCCTGCATATGATATTGGCAATACAACTGAAACAGTCAACCTTCACTTGCAGACCGGTTTCGGGCTCCTTAGGCACTCGTCAGTGCAAGATAGTGACCATCATCGACCTAAAGTCAATGATATTCCTTAATTGAAAATCGAAATTCTTTCAGAGTTAATACTCATTGAATTTAATCGAAATAAGCGCCATTTGAATTAGTGCACTTTTGCCAACGTAACACAAGGCGAATATTCCCGCCAGCATATACATTGTGTGCTTGGGATTCGATGAAGTCGACGAAGGCCGTTTTTGCCTGGTCCTAATTGGCGAAGGGTCTACCGGTGAGAAAGTTATCGAAGTACTTGAAAAGATGGTAATCGGTTGGAGAGAGGTGATTTGTGAAACATGCGTTGTCATACAGCAGAATCCGACCTCTTCTATTGACGCAATTTTTGGTACATTTCATCGATTTCCTCATAATAGGACTCTGATGTGGAGGCTTGGCCCGGTTGCAGAAAGGTATAGTGAATCACAAGTGCCGCCGACCACCATTCAGTAATCATAGTAATTTTTTGGTGTGGTGGCTCATCGATTTCCAACCACTGCCCTAAACTTCTCCTGTTGTCGTAGAGGATCCACTTTTTATCGCTCGTGACGATCTGATCCCAAAAAGAATTATATTTTTCTGGAAACTGAATACATTGGGAGATCAACAGATTTTTTTGAAACTAATAATTAGCTATCTACGGACAGGAGTCAACGAGCTGTTGATGATATATAGCAGGTTTTCAATGCAGTTTTCCGGAAGCCTCTTCAACAACTTGTTGATTATTGAGTCGACCCCCCCGGAGCTTTCTTGGCCATTACGGCCCTGATGTAACCCTTCAGCTCCTCTACAGAAGTCGTGCGGATGTTATCATCGTCATCTTCCCTGAGGATACGGTGAACCCGATCTTCCAGCAGAATATCGCGATCGATGTCGTCATTGTCGTCAACGTTAAGTTGAAACTGACGTTTCATCGTGTCAGCAAAGGCCAACGCTGTCGGCGGGGATTGGGCTATTCCTCCAAAAGATGACTATTTATAGGACATTCGAACGCTTTCCCCTCTTCCCTCTCTCCGCTTCACTGGTTTAGTGGGAGTTGATAGTTTTTTCTTTTGATTGAAGGTTTCCATTTGTAACGTATCTCTACGCTAGCTTGGCTGAATGCAATGTTGGAAGAAAAATGTGCAGCTTCTTTGAACTTCCCCTCAAACTAGTGTTCCTCCCTGTAGATGGTCTCAGCTCGGGACCACTTTATGTTATGTTGATGAGTCCAAACATGCTCTGCCATTCCCGATTTGCTGATTTTTCCTCGCTGTGTGTTTCTCTTATGCTCGGCAATACGGACTTCCAATGGTCTCTTAGGGTATCCGGTAAATGCAATTCTTGGATTCGCAGTCCGCGTTTGCTGGCCTGGTTTTCGCGAGGCTATTACGGATGGTGTTTCCGGATCTGAAGCAGGTTCTGATGTTGTACTTGGACCCAATTTTTCTCATCCTATCCGACGTACGGAAGGGCAAGCACTGGTTGTGACGACTTCTCTTCCTTCTGAGGATCTTGGTGTCTTCTAGTTTCACCATCACTTTGGATGATCCCAGTTTCTTCTCGAGAACTTCCTTCGTATTATAGAAACCGAAAGCACGATCCACTAGAGTCTTGATGACTCCTCTTTTGGTAGATTGATGGTGGTTGAATTATTTGTTCTTTCAGAGATTTCAAATCATATATCATAAATATATTATTCATTCCATTGAATACCGTTAACTGTTATCTTCACGACATATTTATGAATATCATTTCTCTTCCCTCACGAATTTGAAGAGTTTCTTTGCATAACGAATAAACCAGGTTTTTTACTTCACTAGAGATTTTTTCCATGACCCACTCAACCAAAAAAGTAGCTATCTACATTTTTTTCATTAGTAAAACCATCATTATAGCTCCAAACGTTGTTCATATTTTCTAGGGACGTCTGCAGGTTATAACAAATGTAATTTCATCTCATATTAGTCAAATAAGAATCTATCTATCTTCGACGGAGAAGTTGAAAGCCAAAATGATTCTTTTTCTCCCAAAAAGTAAACTCCTGTGATAGGGAATGAATTGATTAATTTTCCCCAACTGTTCTAGCGATGAGGCAGATCTGTCTCTTTAAGTGATATAGTAAAGTTTTGAGAAAAACACCTTTCGAATTTCTCATTTCTTCCTTAATTTTTATTCATTTTCGGTTAAATTACCGTTTCTTCCAATTTCAGAATTTTGTTTTGTTTTTATTGGTTTTTTGTGTAACTTCTTTCGATGATGCCTAATTTACTGATTTTAAATAAGTCACAATAGTAATGTTAGTACTTCAGTAAAGGAGTTTCTCCCCCTGATATCAATTTGCATCTTGTAATTTGATTGTATAATATTTTATATACTCCTACTCCCCTTATTTGGAATTTTGTTAAATAAATCAAATTGATTAGACCAGAAACCCCAAAAGATATTGACTCAAAATAAAATTTATTATATAATGAATACAGACCGAGTTGTTGCAAGCCCACCTGTTTTTTATGAATGCATTCAGGGTTTTCCATCATTTTAATTCTGGCTTTCAATACTGTAGAAAGTGCATGATTCGATCGCATACAGTTCATAGTATTTTTCTCACTCTCTTCCAAAAGACAGTCTGTTGCAAAGCCCAGCTTCTACAATGACCGTCAAATTGGAAAACACTTTATGTCTTTTTCTTTATATCGAAGGAGGATTCAAACCCTCGATCTTTGGATCGTGTATTACTACCCGCGCTCATGAGTACTCATTATGATTATAGTTCAAGTAAACGATATAGTACAACCTACGTTCCAACAGCTCCCCTTTAATAATATAGTTCGGGAGCTAACTAATTTCGTTATTCAATAATCATTTCTGATTATATAAGAATAATATAGAAGTGTCCAATTTCCATAAAGTCTTTTTCAACCAAAATTACTTTTTTAACCCTTTTCTGCCAGTCTTCTTCGGTAATATTACTTCTTTAGTTAGCTCTATTACCTTCTTATCGAATATTTTATTCGTACGCCTGATGCTTTGTTTATGTCTTCTCCAAATCATGGGATTGAAAATGGGATTGAAAACACAATAATAGGGGGGAAGTCTCAGTATGGTGTGTCCATACTTTTCAGCAATACTCTCAAGAGCATAACTTTTTCAAATGTTTTTGTCTGTAAAACTTCAAGTAGTTGGTTTTTGGTATAGCAATTTTCAAAATACAAATTGTTACTCATTAAAAAACTTTGTATTTCATCTTTCCTCGAATCTTTATTCTGTACTTTGATGAGCTGTCGCGAATGATAGGAAGCGTTGTCAAGAACTATCCACATCTAAATTTGGGATCAATGTGTTTTCAAACCATTCCTCGGAAATATTAGCTTCCATGTTCTTATGATGATCCACATTGTAGTCCTCAAGTTTTTTCCACATACTTTCAAAGAATTCGGAACCCATCCTTTAATTCCTCCGCAATGCACAATAATTAGTCGCGATCCTTTGTTTGCAGGCATGTTAGGCGTACACATTCACTAACCATCAGTCCCCCCTTTCGTATCTGTGTCGTGAGTGTCATACCAAGTTTCGTCCAATTAGAAAATTTGCCATTGTTCTTGTCTATATTTAGTTATTTGTTCTAAGTATTTGTCACGCAATTCCACTATTCTTCTGCTTTCCATAACTGCTAGACGTTTGTTTATTATTTCAAATCTAACTCCTATTTTCATCATTCTGAAGAGTTTTGACACAGAAGCTCACGTTAAGGTCGGAAGTATTCAATTTCTTCCTTATGATTTCAGTTGTAGGAATCTCATTGCTTTTGTAACAGTCGTATTTTGTTTTTTTCAATAATTTCATTAGATGAACATCTGAAGGTTTTGGTAATTCTGTATCACATCCCGTCTTGCATTCATAAGGTTTGTTTTTGACTATTTACGTACAGTTGAGAAAGGAATTTTGGTCGAATCTGATGTTGCTTATAATAGTTTGTTTCCTTTGAAACCAAACTTCAGATGTAGATTTTTGTATACATTGAAACATACTCTCTGTGTTTCAATATTCAAATGCATCCGAATCTTATTTACTGGTATCTCGTTTTCTCATTGTTCACCATCGCTATTGGAATCAATACACTGTAAAAAGTCTGCGTTGTTATCACACTCGTTATTACTATTAGTACTTGTTCAAAGGCGCCACATTTCAATTAGATAACAAAAATTTCAAGTAATTATAACTGCACCAATATCGAATTTCAACACTCAAATCGCAATGAGTTTCTAAAGTGAACATTGATGACACGACGGCGATAACCATTTCCGCATTCCCCGATTTCTATTCGTCACCGTAATATGACTTCAAATTTAATTTCATGACTCTTCAGCCAATCATAAAACCGGTTCATTTTTGTGTATTGGTTTTTTTGGCCTTTGAGAGTGTCGCCAACTATAAGTGTGCACAATATCGTTTACTTCGACTATACACGGTGTTATACATGATTGACTTCGAGTTTGCTGTGAATGTGTTGATACTATCAACTGAGATCTGATGTAATGTAACATCTAGTGATAATGACATTGGAATCTACGCAATCAACTGTCGAAGATAAACGACGAATGTCGAAGATAAACGAGGGTACCAATGGCGATTCGTTGAAAAACTCAGCCGATGGTTGATGCTGAAGATGGTATTTATTATCTACTTGATTGAATAATTGTCTTTCGTTTTTGAATAGTCGTATTTCAAATATTCGAGTTCTCAGACCAAGTACAATTTTCCGATACACCACAAAAGTTTCAAGAATTTCGGATTTTGTTTTGAAAATTGAAATCTTTGTCAAAAAGTTTTTGGATGTATATCTGTAGCGGAGTTAGTAGAAATGAAGTCACTGTGTGATTATGTTGATGCTAGTATGAATGTGAATCGGGCGAATATATGAGTGATTAAACTTCAACGTTGAAACATATTTTTATTGATAAAATTACCAACAATTATTTTCAGGTCTTTCTTGCCTAAAGATGACTGTCGAATTGTTGCAAGACTCCTGGATTCCCTCTCACCAATCTGCTTCTGGCTTTGAAAATATCCTGGAAATTTCAAAGTTTGAAAATATCATCATTATGTTTTTGAGTTTTTTGGTTATTAGATTGATCAACAATCAGTTGATCATCTAGATATGATTATATAATGAAATAAATCCTACCACTTGTTAACAAAAACCATCAAAAGGATAAAAAGGAATTGAGAGTGTGATAATAACAGTAGGGCATCATCTCAGAAGGATCTTTTCCTATGAAAAATATTTTTATTAGGATTTTTATTATTTCAGGGTTATCAAATCAATTCATATTATATTAGACAATGGAAGTCCGAACTGATGAAATATATCTGCTAGTGTTTTTGAAAATATATCTAAAATATATCTAATAATTCCATGTAACTTTGATTGTGTATATTATGATGGGTTATACATACCCCAAAATTCACTCGTGAACCTCCTCTTTTTTCTACCAAATCTTCAACTTCTTTGGCGAGATTTTCTTGTGTTGTATTGGAAACATTTATTAAACTACAATTTGAGTCAGCATAATGACAAGAGATTGCCTTCCTGAAACCCTGAAAAACTACCATTAGTAACAAACAAGGTACATCTCATAGAGCAAGGATAAAAATACATTATTTAAAAAATATTATTGGTATGTGTAGATTCCAAAAAGCATATTTGTATTTGATAGGTCCCCCAAGAGTATATATAGTGATCGAAATGGGGCTAGTACATGAGTTTAAAGTTCAAATTTATCTTAAAGTTATTCGATGGTTTTATACTAGTAATGGACGAGTTGCTATGTCTTTTGGACTATGATATATATACAGTGCTGGGTTATACCTAATCGAGGACAAATATAAAAATGTCTGCAGAAGTAACTAAATATTATAACAAGGTAAATTGCAGAAAAAGAATATTACTGGAGTTTTTTCCCAACACCAAACCGTTATTTTAACACCTCGACACGTGTTTCGATCACCAAGTGATAACTTCGTGTCGAGGTGTTAAAATAACGGTTTTGTGTTGGGAAAAACTCCAGTTATATTCATTACCACACCAAAGGTTCCAAACAGTGCATCAAAAGTGTAGAAAAAGAGTCAACATTTAAATTCACTATGAGGATGAAGAATGATAAATTAGTATCTCAAAAACTGACAATGACCTGTTACAAATTTGTAGACCGTTTAAAAAAAAATTGGTTTTGTGGATCAAATCGAGATGTTGACTTTTTAGATTATAACTTTAGTTCGAAAACTTGAATAACGATTATACAGGATGGAAGCTGAGAACAGAACGTATCCAATATGTGATGGATTACAGGGCGGCTAGAAAGTCTGTAACGTCTGTCGTGCGACAAATAACCGTTACGTCGCACCCTAAACCGCTTAACTTAGGCATGACCAACACACATTGAATCAAGGACTGTTGCTAACTTTCAAGCAGCATTGCTTTGATCGGATACGAATGCTGGTTACTGTTGAAAAGTAACCAGTGTGCTAAGCAAGAAATATTGAGGAAAATACAAAATTGTTGGAGAATCCTTTTCGCTTATATCAATAGATTTCACATGTTGTAGATAACCTGCCAACCGCTGATCAGATGACGTTTATGTGCATTTTATATATAACATCGTATGAGCGTGTCGTACATTTGCTCAGATATTTTGCAATTAAGTAGTGAGATGACACAAACAACTGATGCCGCTCTGGAGGATTCGCTCTACTATAACATCTGGTCTGTAGATGGTAGATTCTGGTCCCACTCTGCATCATCCGGTGATATACCATCATAACGGCTTACACAGCGTGAAGTTGCTTTCGGGCTAATGTTTCGTTGCTGTGCCGCTGTTTCCGGTTTCAAGGGTGGGAATATAAGGAAAAATACATGATGGCGTTCCTAGAGTCAAAATACTCCGGAGGTGAAGAGCTCCCCAATCGGAACTCCGGGTGGGAGCTGATTCAAGAGCATCACCCTGCAGAACTTATTCAAAAACCACTATTTCTGACAGTCAGCAGGGTCTTCCTAATATCAGTCCACAGGGAAATAGCATGGTAACTGGGGATGCTAAATTCCTGCAATCAGAGGACTCAACTCAAATATAAACTGAGTGCACCAACATATGCAATCAAATAGTCCTCATATTCTTGCACTTACAGAAACCAAAGTTAGTGCTTCAATAAACCCCATCAATTTTCTATACCTCGGCTATGATTTCCACTCCCGATTCAGACGTATTTTGGAATATTTCTTTTTATCAGAAGCGATCTCCCCTGTCATCGAGAGGAAATGCTGGAACTCCGTAACTTTAATGTTATGTGGTTCAAAAAATATCACAGAAGATCACCAAATTCATATATATGTTGCGTGTATCAACCACCTAGCGATACACAATATTGGGAACTATTCTCTTTACTTGCAAACGCCATTGATTTTCTGCAAGTGCCGAAGCTTCCATATTCGGTGACTTCAATGTCCACAATATCGAATGGCTCAAATTTTCAAATATCAACGACGAACAAGGTCGCGAAGCTGAGGCTTTTGCAATAAACAGCGGACTTACTCAGATTTTAAATGAGCCAACCAGGATTCCTGACCCTGATGGAGAATATGCTAGTCTTCTGGATCTATACTCAACAACCAATCCAGAAATTTACACAGTCATCGTAAAGTCTCCATTGGGATCTTCTGACCACAAACTCATTTCAGTATTTAGTGAATTACAGATAAATGTTGGGAACAATCTAAGCCGCGCAAAGTTTGGCATTATAGAACAGCTGAATGGGAGGATCTTCAAGACCATTTCCGAAATTTGTTTCAGCTCTAAAGATCCATCGACTTGTGTCAAGGAAGTTATTCTATCATTCATGGATGCATATATTCCGTTTTCAATAGAACGACCTTCTAACGACAGATCAGAGAATTAGGGATAAACTGCTTGCCAATCTCAATGGGTCTAGATCCTTCTGGTCGGTAGCTAAAGCTGTTAATCAGAACTTTACAAAATCCATAGTTCCACCACTAACACGAGCGGATGGTTCAATTGCAACAACAGCAATAAAAAAAGCAAATCTACTAGCTGAACAATTTGCATCTCACTCCATGTTCGACTAACTGAGAAAGGCACCACCTACTATTCTCACACTAGAATCCACAATGCCGGAAATTACTTTTTGACAGCGTCTATTCTGGCGAATTTTGAAACAGCTCAATATCAACAAGGCGACTGGTCCTGATGAAGTGTTAATCATCGTACTTAAAGAGTGCGCAAACGAACTCCCACTAATATTTTGCAAACTTTTCAACCTGTCTTACAAAAAAGGGATTTTTCCTTATTGTTGGAAGATTGCTCGCGTTCAGCCTATTCCCAAAAAGGTCAAGAAACATCTTCCAAATAACTATAGATCAGTCGCTTTGCTATTAGTGATATCAAAAATCATGGAGAAAGCCGTAAACCACCATAGCCTCAAATATCTGGAAGGTGATCCTTTTTTCGTATGTCCCCAATATTTGGAATAATCGAGGAACTAGGAGAGTCAAGAGCTGTCGCGCTCGATATTTCTAAGGCCTTTGACAGTGTGTGGTATGAGGGTTTGCTGGCCAAACTTTGACTGACGACAGCACACTCGTCTCGTCATTACATTTGGATTCCAGGACACCGGCTGCGGATGAAGATCTTAACCGGTAGCAGGAGGTTAAGTATCTTAATGAGGGTCTAGAAGTAATTTCGAATTGGGGTGAAACTAACCAGGTTCAATTCAATGCCACAGTCATCAGTTTTCTCCAGAAAGATAAATGTTTCCGAACCGGAAATAATAATGTCAGGTCGGATAATTTCGTTTGCTGCTTGATAATCTGGAACATCGAAAACATCTTGGAGCTTTGTCTCATTTGATTCCACCAAGAGCGGTACATATAAAAAATACGCGACAGAATGTGGCTTCTCATCGTTTTGAGGTCAGTACACCTCGAACTCCACTGTTCGAGAACGCTTTCATCTGGAGAACTGTGTTTATGTGGAATAAACTTTCTGAGAATGTTTGTAGTCAAGTTGACTCAAGAGAAGCTGTACCACTAGAAAAATGATGCACCTCTATAAGAGTTTCACGGTTATACACTCTTCGACAACCACCTGGCCGTGAAATTTTAAGATTGGAATATCTTCATAATAAAATAGTTTTGGCTAGATCCTATGAACTTATTACGACTTCGGAATCACTGCAGTGACAATGAGAAAGTAAGTGTCGGAGCATTTCTCCGCTTAAAGGAGAAAGGAATGAAGTATTGAAATCTTCAAACTCTTTCATTGATTGATTGACCCCAGTGGTAGGCTCCTCGATAAGGTCGGAGCTTCGGGTGAGGACCTGCCCAGCCACTCCTTTCCTGGTTGAAATAATATTAATAATGATGAGCAAAACAGAAGGAGTAGTTTTGGGTCAATTGACAGATTCTGAATTTATCTCTCATAACTTGAATTTCAGACGAAATTCTTGGGGAGAGAAACCTGTTATGAAATTCTGAAATATCTATTCCAATTTTAAATATTTTGAAGAAATGAAATGAAATAGTTCAATTCTCCAAGTGGCATTCTACATTTCTCAGAAAGTACGGGAAAGTATCAAATTAGGAATGATGAATGCATCCTCAGGATGGACTCAACACAAATTCATTTTTCTTAAACATTGACATACATTTTTCAATGAAATGAATATTTTCTGACTGACTGACTTCCGCAAGAGAATGCTTCATTCATTTAAATAAAGGGGAAAAATCACATTTTTACGCCATAACTGCTTCGAAAGCGATGAGGATCAAATTAAAGTTGTATCATGATGCACGAAACTACTTTATTGTTCGGAAAGAAAGAAGAATGTTTGTTGCTATTTTGGGGATATTTCTAACTATTAGTTTTATGACAGGAAAGTTAACTGATGAGTAAAAAATAATGACTGCGATAACATATAATGAACATTGAATATAATGATGAGAAAGTAATGACAGCCACAACAGCATTAGTTTTGAATTTTGATGGGTACCATTAAAAGAGATAAGGGAAAGCCTTCAAAAAATGAATTGGTTCATTAATTTATTTTCATTTTAATCGATGTATAGAAGTATCATATACAAAATTGCAAATAGTTGAACATGAAGGAGGGACATCAAGTGAAATAGTTCGATAAAGAAAAGTTAATAACACTCGTAAATTATAATAAAATATTTTCTTCAAAATCATTTGATTGCTTATTTCTCAATTTTTATTACATATTTTCAGACTAATCGGATTATTACACAAAGTGAGTGAGTATTCTTGAAGACTGGCTGTAAATCAAATTTCCCAAAAGAACAATTTGTTCAGGCCAGTCTCAACTCCTTACACTGTAGATTAATGGAGTGACACCTCTCAGAAAACAACTACTCCCCTGGCTAATACCACGGAGGGCATTGGATTATATCCGACAGGTGTCAGTGCAGGATGCTTCACTGAAGTTATTCCTGCATATGCAGTTGGTGATATAACTACACGGAATTGATTTTCAATGGTCGAAACACAATTGCTGTCAGTTTTCGGTCTGCAAGTGTGTTTAACCTGAAGTCGATGATTTCCGATAATAAAAAATCGAATTCCTTTCAGAGTAAGAATATTTTGATATATTTTTATTAATCGTTTTTCTAAAAAAATACTAATAATGTGTAAAAAGTAGCTCTATACCTTTGTGAAGTTAGGACCCGATCCGTGCAATAATAAGGGATGAAAAAACACTGAGTCTCCCTTTTCCATAACAACATTTACCCTGGGAAGATGATCCATTCCTTGAATCCCATGGTAGAGTGTATTTTTGGAGCCCTGAAAAAACATCATTTACATGTCATACTATATAATAATAAAATTCTTGTCAACCTCTGGATATTCGTGTTTGTAAAGTGGACCTGTATGCGACCCTGGAATAACATATAGGCATCCGTTTCTCTCATCAACTCTTTCCATGGCGGTCCAGGAAGCGACAATTCTGTTCGCAGGACGACAGGGGAAGTAGTGAAGATCCTGGAAACAATTTTCAGCATCAGATTTTTCATCTTAATTCGTAATCTTTTTAATTCATAAATCCAATTGAAATAAACTGCAAGTATTATTTTACGACGAACTGTTGTTGCTGATCGTTTTGAGGTTCAACTCAGTACACCTCACTGTTCAAGAACTCTTTCATCTGGAGAATTGCGTTTATGTGGAATAAACTTGTTGAGAATGTTTTTTCAAATGGATTTAATCTCCAGCGATTCAAATCCAATGTGAATCGCTACTTTCGCAAGGCACTGCTCTGAAAGCGCCTTAAGGATTTTCCTGTAGTGCTTGTGTTTTGTCCTCTGAATTGATTTAATAGAAAGGAAGATATAAAATCACTACAATAAAAACTTTCCATAAAAATATGTAAATCATACAAGCAAACTGAATTGAAAAATGTAATTTTGTGTAATTCAATGTTCATGTGAAAGAAGTTAATCTGAAAGGGTTTTTTCTTTCAGTTTGTATTTGAAAGAAACTTTTATGCATGATCTACATATCTTCATGAAGCAAAAAGTATTTTTTTTCAAAAATATTTTTGAAAATATTTCCTTTTAAATTCAAATGAAATGCCTATGATTGGCATTTAATTTTTTGTTTAATGATGAATAAAGCCAAAAAGTATTTTTTTGAAAAACTCATCACTTGACAAAGCTACTGTGATAGCGAAACATGTTGTGATATATTTTTTAAATAAAGTTTGTGGAGATCAAATCGTGCGGGGTAGTTTTCGAAATTACTATGGATCTTCATCAAGTAACGGTCGAATCAATCAGAAAAATTAAATGCCTATGATTGAATGATGATTTAAATGAAATGCCTGTGATTGGTATTGAATTATTGAAATTATAGATACTGACTCGTGCCAAAGCAGAGTTGTCTCTTTGGGTGACAAAGTCGCAATGTTATTAATAAATGATAACTTCCCATCTGTTAATGTTATCCAAAACGGTACCCGAAACTTCAAGTATACCATTCAGGATGAAATTTCATATTATTACACTTCTACATATTACGTTTGTGTAGTATTTCTATGAATAATATTTGTTTCAATTCCATAACGAATGTTTGAAGTACAGAAACAGAATGAAAAAATGTAATATGAACTCCATGCAATTTAATGCTTATATGTTGTTTCGACAGTTTTTCCTTCCACTTTGTATCTGAAAAAAACTTTTGAGAATGCATTTCTATGAGTTTTTATTGTAGCGATTTTCTATTTTCTTTCTTTGGGGAATTTCCCATATTTTTTGTACAACGAGTGGAAAGACAAAAAGAATTATTTTCCACAAAAAATAAGCTTACTTCATTTTTTAACCAAAGCTACATTGAGGTTTTTCAGTACACTCTGAAAAAGAAAAATTGTAAGATGTAGTTTAAATTAACTTATTTATTCATATTCCAAGAGATTTATGAGAAAAATTAAACAATATAGTTTGATCTAATAAATAAATTTGAAATTCTGTGAAAGAAAGAACACACTTCTCTAAGAAATATAGTGTAACAAATAGTACGGAAGTTCCTGTGGGTTGGGCTACTTATCGGGCGCGTCCCCAGGTGGCGGATAGGGGAATGGCCAGGGGGTTTATTACATTGAACTTGCCTTGTACTAATTCGTGTCTAAGCAGCCAATCTTTTCTGGTCAAATGCTCAGTTTTAGCTTTGCTGTCCCACAAGCAAATAAATATTTCGCTTTGTTGGCCCAAACGGAAATTGAGCATCTTTCAAGGCCACGCATATGAGCCAGTTGTGTTCTTTGTATTTAATTTTGTCTAAAACTAGATATATTGTGGAATATTCTTCTTCAGCTTTGGTTGAATGAGCAATACGTAAAGAGCTAAGTTCATAGTTCACATTTAAGACTGCGTTTTGACGAGTCTATATACAAACGCCAATCATTAGGGTCATATCTTTTCAATCCCATTCCAGTCACTAATCCCGGAATATTATTGCAAAAAATAAAATCGTCCTCCTTAGAAAACAAAGAAATTAATTTCTTTTCTGGTACGGTAAAATGAGAGCTTCTGATGAAGCTTTAGACAATCCGAGATCTCTTATTAAATCATTTAGATCCTCTTGGTTGAATGGTCTTGGTCTTCTGGCGTCTTCAAATTCATTACCACTATCTTCGCAACTTGTATCACTTTCCTACATTTCTTGAAAAATTTCGTGCAGACGTACCTGAAATGTACTTGGTTGGGGTTTTAATGTATCCGTGAACACAGGACAGGTTTAGCAACTGACGGCACAGTAAAATAAAACCACTTGAAATGATTTTGGAGGTTAAATCTTGTTATGTTTACGACACAAAAATAACAGTCTTCGTGGTGGTTCGACGACTCACGCTAAATCATAGGACTGATGAGGTTCAAGGGATTCCTTTTGCTATTTTTCCAGAATCGTAAAGACTCCACACACGTTTAACACACTATATTTGGTATCCAGGGCTTGTTGTTTGTTTCCAATGGCCGTTGGAAGTACTCCAGGTAGGCATTTTTCACGAAGTCCGAAACATTTAAACAAATTTGTTAAATGTATATTTGCCACATATGTGACAAAATCAATTTGGATTATTTACACAGACCCTTCTAGACGAATCCATTGTAAGAAAAGAAACCGAAACTAATAAGACGTTGACGATAGCGATATCAATAGTCAATTAGAGAGTACATTTTACGGGGGTACCTTCTAAACTAGAGCTGCTACAAAAAATCTGAGGGTATATTCAAAATAAGCGAGCCTAAAGTAGTAAACAACAGGTGAAAAAGCCCATGTAACAAAAAAAAAAAGAGATTTTGTTGTGCAGTGATAATCAATTTTGAGAAACATAACTTGAAACTAGAGTAATTTCTGCTGGATAGAAAAGTGTATTATCATCCTAAGTCACCTTTCACGATAACTTCGACAAGTCTGCATATATTTTTTGTCAATAACTAAATATATGACCTTGAACATTTCAAGGTGTTGAAAGTGAGGTATTGTTTTCCTTCAGATTTTTTGTCAACAGGGATAGTTGATTATTGATTTGTACGATTTAACTTTACATTAAGTGTACTCCGAAGTTTGTAAGTATCTTGTTTTTCCATTTCGGACAGGATCTGATTAAACTTCAAAGTTAGAATTTGATGGCGTCTATTTTTTTTAATGATTGCCTCATTCTGAACATAACAATGACCTTGTGAACAACCATCTACAAACACTATTGGAATTTCAACTTAAAACTTATTTTTCTGAAAATATTTCATTGATTGCACAAAAACGACTCTCTCCAAATGAAAACATTCTTGAAACAGTGTAATTTGAGCTGTTTAACGTATGGGCTTTTCTACTTCTCCTCAGGCCAACATTTAACACTGAGGGTGGAACCAAGCGAGCTAAGTCAGTTGAAGACTTCTTGGGAATATCTACAAGAAAAAGACAAGAATTCGACTTTTTTCGATGTTTTAGGCTTTCAAAGTAGCTTATGATGTTTGAATATCCAATGGGTGAAGAAATATGTGCAAAATTTCAAAAACGGACCTATAGTACAATTCCATAATAGTGGACACTGAATTCTCAGAAATATCTTTACATCAAAACGAAAAACATTGTTGTCAAGGTTGATTCCATAAATATTTTATCATTTTTCCTCATCTGTTCAGTACCCCACTGCAAGACGTGCAAATCATAGAATTTTGTTATGTTCTCGAAATGAAATTCATTACCTGGTGTAAAGGGTGCCTTGAAATATCAGGATCGGTATCTGGAGGTTTATTGATCAGCATGGAATGGATGCCGGTAATATTCGGACCAATTATTTGCTCCACTACATCCACAACTTCATTGCAACTTGCATACTTCCATAATACATCATCGTAGAGGATATCTTGTAACTTGTAAAAAAATATGTTATTTCAATTTCAATGTTGATTATGCTGTCAAAATTAATACTGAAAACACTTGAGTTTTTGATTCTATATGCTTATTTTAGATGTGTTGAATAATACATGATATTAGCAGATATAGTTATATAAGATGAATGTTCAAAAAGTAATATTGAAAATACCTAATAGTTAAACAAATATTCCTTTGATCTTCTTAATCTTCATGCTCAATTTCATATATGGCGTTTTTCTAAATTTAGAATTTGCGGCCGTCAACCATGAATTTGGAAATTGATACATGTATCGATATCAAACTTTTCTATAGAATTCAAATCTGCAATATTATATAGAATAGAATAGATTTGGGTTGCTGAATGAATGAATGACGAAGAGTTTTGTATAATTTTATCTGACCAGTGAGCACTGATGATGACGAAAGTCGAAAGCGATTTGCAATAAGGATTTATAATTATACACTTCTATACAAAAATCTTCGATTCATTCATTATATAGAGTATTTCAATAAAACAAACTTAGGTTGGCCTCATCTGCCGCCTCAAATACGAGTGAAAATTTTCTAAAAAAATGGGTTTCATGTCCTATATCACCAGATACTGAATATGGGACACAAGTTGAAGCAAAATAAGAAACATGATTTATTGAACTGCCCAATATCTCTCAATGAATTCCTCGATTGCCTCAATTGTACTTATAACTCATCTCCTGGACCTGATGACATTCCAATGATATTCATACGTATGTTACCAGAAAGCGCTACTGATATTCTTTTGAGGAATACAATCGCATCTGGAATGAACACATATTCCCTCAGAGATGGGCAGAATCATTGATAACACCAATATATAAAATAGGTAAACCCAAATCATCACTGGAAGGATATATACCGATTTCTATTGGTTGTGCGATGAGCAGATTATTAGAGAAAATAATCAATCGAAGACTTATGTGGATGCTAGAAGAGAAAAAGCTCATTATCCCTGAACAGAGTGGATTCCGGAAAAAAACACTCCACACTGGATAATCTGGTTGATCTTGAGTCCGAAATTCACGAATCATTAGCAAACGATCACGACTGCATTGCAGTCTTCTTCGACATCACAATAGCATATGATACTGTATGGCGGTACTCAATCCTAGACACCCTACAGAAGTCATTTGGAGGAAACATCATACATTTCATTGCAAACTTCCTGAAAATCCGCGAATTTCGTGTCAGAGCCAATGGGGCGTTGTCTTCCTCCAAAATTCAGAAGAATGAGATTCCACAGGGTTCTTCACTAAAGGTCAATTTCTTTCTCATAGCCACCAATAATATTACTGACAAATGTTCAGCACCTCTCAAATCAAGACTCTATGCAGATGACCTCGTAGTTTTTAGTAAAGGAAAGAATCCGATCTCAATACGTAACAATCTACAGACATTCATGATCAATCTAGAGGAATGGTCGTCATCTTCAGGCCTTCGAATATCACTTAAAAAGATAAAATGTGTACACTTCTCGAAAAAACCTAAAGAACACCCACTTCAACTGATGATGTTTGGAGAATATATTGAGTAGGTTGAAAGCAATAAATTTTTGGAACTGATATTCGATCAAAGAGTCAAGTGGAACTCCAACATTCAGGAAAATCCTGTCAGAACGGTGTGAACCTTATGAAAACAATCGCCCCAAGAAACTGGGGATCGGACACTCATGCTCATCTAAAAATTGAATTACGGATCTATTGTATATAACTCTGCCAAGAAATCGGTTCTGAAAGATCTCAATGTAACCAGCAACATCGCCATTAGAATCACACTCGGAGTTTACTGCACAAGTCCAAGTTCAGTGAGCCATCATCATTCTCATATGCCTCCTCTATGTTATCATTTCCGCAAAAACGTAATTGTGAAAAGATTTCGAATTGTCTTTGAAAAGAAGAAGAGGGCCGACATTCCCTTTAATGAGAGACTGAAGCGGTATTTATCTAGTTTACACTTCCAGAAACCAAAGACATTCATTTCCTCAAATATTCCAACCCTTCTACTCTGAAGGATCCCCAAAATCAAAGTTGATCATACCCTCTCACAATATGATAAAAGTCAGACAAACCACGGAATAATCAATACAGAATTTCATCGTCTTCTAGAACAATATGCAGAGTTCCAACTTCCTCTACACAGATGCATCCAAAACTATAGATGGACTCGGATCAGCTTTCACTATCGTAGATTTTCAAGCTTCGTTCAAACTATCAAGAGAGAGTAAGGTATTCACTGGAGAAACATACGCTATATGGAAAGCCTTGAAGTCGGTAGCCAGGCGGTTCGACTTGTGTGCTTTGTTCACTCATTCGAATTGACTGCAGTGTTGGTCGGTAGTTCAAGCCCTAGTCTGAACGATCGATTTTCACTTGCTATCGTCCAACCCGTATTAGGAATCACACGTTGAATGGTATAATCTCGTTAGTCCTTAGCTCGCACAAGTTTCGACTTCTGAGGGTTGTCGTTCGTAGGGGTGCGACAGCTGATTAACGGGAAAACATAAATATTAAAAAAATTGGGAAATGCCTCATTATCACAGATTCCATGAGTGCTCTTCTGGCAATGAATCAATCAAACACCCAAAATCCCATTATACTTTCCATCAAACAAGAGCTTCATGTACTCAAGCAAGCAAGCAGTAATCAGATTCATATGGGTCCCATCTCATATGGGCATCCCAGGCAATGAAAGAGCAGATCAACTGGCGAAAGCAGCCATCTCAAATCCATTGACTTATACTGAACCCAAAATAAATCACATTGACCTGAAATCTTTCTACAAACAAGAAATCATCAACAATGGGCAACATCAGTGGTACAATTTCACCTCAAAGCTAGCAGAAGTAAAAACATCAGTATTTCCATGGAAAAATATCCCCAAAAACAGAAGACACCAAGTTATCCTGACTCGTTTGCGACTGGGACATACCCGCTTAACACATGAATACCTCATAACAGGTGGTGACAAACCAAGATGTGAAGTTTGTGGAACAGACCTGAGTATAAAACACATTCTAATGCGTGCTATATCACATCGACAGACTTACTCATCGCATCCCACAAACAATGAAAGACATACTTGGTGAAAATTGTGGCACTGAACAATTAATAGCTTTCCTCAAAGTCATACACATTTTTCAACATATATGAATTAATTTTAAATATCATATACTAATTGAATCATTTGTATTATGTCGTTGCTAATAACCCTAGCGGTTGATGCAACTTTCTTTAAATAAAAAAATGTGTGACCAATTTTTCTCTACGAATTCAAATTCAACAAAAGCGCTGCCAAAACAACTCGAAAAATTAACCAGGCATTCGGCAATGATAGTTTTGCGTTGGTTTGCGAAATTTCGTTGCACAAATTTTAACTTCGAAGATGAACCCCGAAGTGGTCGACCTACAGTAATCCAGGACGAGGATTTTAGGACTCTGGTGGAGGCTGACCCATCACAAACCATGCGTAGAATGACGGAAAAACTCGGCGTCAGCTCCCATGTGGTTCTTCATGGTTTAACCCTTTCGGTCCCGATTTTTTCTATTTTGAGTAAAATGATGAAATCATATATACCTATCTACATCTATTTTAATTTTTTTTTAATGATTTTCAGCTTTTGTTAATAAATCCTATCTCACATATATCACACATATCATTTGATATGTACACTGCAGTGTACCCTGGGACTTAATGAAATAATAAAAAAACAAATAAAAAAAATATTTATATTTATGATTTCTTCAAACTTTGGCAAGAAAAAAATTGTATTCATTCAATGAGTTTTTATTTTGTAGTACTATTGGAATTTGGACGACAGGTGTAAAATCGGCCGTTCAAAATCGGTGTGTGTGAATTTAGCGTAAGAGGCCATTGAAAGTTCGCATTGCTGAGCACAAGAAACACACACAGCGAGGAGAAACCAGCAAATCCGAAATAGCAGAGCATGTTTGGACTCATCAACAATCAAATTAGTTTATATTATATTAGACAATGGAAGTCCGAACGAAACATTGTCAACCACCTTTAAACAAATGTATGAGTCATTATTTTCCAAATAGTAAACAAGCTCTTCGAATGAAAGCAATGGTGAAAAAATACCTTCTTTATAAACTCTAAAAAATAGGTTAGGTATATTTACTTACTTCACCAAGACACATTGTATACAATAGTGTACGTGTCGATATTTGACGGAAAATCCAAAAAAAATCAGCAAAGCACTAACTAATATTTTAGCCAGTCAGTTAGAACTATTGTTTATAACTGAAAAAATGTACAACTCTAATAATCCAAGCTAACACAAACAAAAATGTGTTTAGATTAGTTCTTGTCGATTACGCTCGAAACACGATCGCTGTAACAATGAAATATGCAATTTTCATTTCTGTAGTCATAGATGGCACCACACGTATTATAACGTTATTATGATATACACCCAAATCTATGCTGGGACGCAATGGTCATATTCGAAATACATTTTGTATTAGAACATATTTGAATTGCAATTCACTACAGTGTACTCCAGGACCGAAAGGGTTAAAACGTTTTGGAAAAGTTATGAAGCTCGAAAACTGGGTGCCTCACGGTTCGAACGATCGACAGAAATTGTCACGATTCGAGGTCCGTTCTTCTTTGCTTTTGTGCAACCAAAATGATCCTTTTTTTGATGTGATGTGGTTTTTTGTGTGATGAAAAATGGATCCTCTACAACCACAGGAGACGTTCAGGACAGTGTTTGGACATCGATGAGCCACCTGGGCGCTTCTCAAAGCCGAAAACTCTTCAAAAAAAGACCATGGTTACTGTATGCGTCAAGAAATAAGTTGATGAGTTATGTTATATTTTTTAAATAAATCAACAACATCATTCAGCTCAGATAATTAAGATTTCATAATTGTCTGATAATTTTCTAAAGTTGTAAACGATTTATAGATTGCCTAACGTCTGAATACCAGAATTCAAACTATCGAACATATGACCGTTACAAATGAGATTGTTACTTGTTGTAATGTAACAATTGCTACACATGAAATGTTCCTGATGAGAAATATGAAAACTTACCTTATTGACTCCGTATTGACCGGAAATTCCTTTCTTTTTCAAAACTGGATCTTTGAGAACTTGCGCACTGTAAACTGGAGTTCTTTTTTCACATATATCGATAAATCGTTGGCTGAAACAAAAATGCATCATTTACTGCTCTGTTTTTTCATAAATGTTTTGTTCTTTGATGGTTTGTTCTCACTGTTTTTATAATCTTTCTGAAAAACCAAAATAGTTACATTTATCAAAATTCGAAACAATACTGGTTAAGCACAAAACGAAATATGTAATATTAGGGACGTATTTATTACGTTGACTTGATTTACAACAGGACAGTAGATATTTTCGTTGCATAAATGACACTTCATTTGATTAAAAAAACATCAAAATCAAGAGCTACAATGTCGTAGGTTTATATATTCGTACAGGACTGAATGATGTCAATAAATGTCATCGTTATACAGATAATATCAGTCTTTGAACTCCTGAAGTTCGTGTCGACAAAATGTTGAGGAAATCAATAGGAATTAATGACGGTCAACAATACTAAAAACAACTAATACAATGTAAGCTGATCGCGAATATACAGTGTGTAAAAGTCGAATTGAATAAATTGATTATTTTGGTTACTGTACTGTAAATTACAATTTGACATTCTTCAACGTAAAAATGCCACCCCTACCGTCAATCCCCTTCGAATGACGGTACAACCCCCATTCTTTAAATGGGAAGTATAGGTTTGTGATATATCGTTTGAAAGGTTTATTGCAACAATTAAGATAAAATAAATTAAAATGATGTGGCTACCGAAATTCGATTAAATACACTCAAAAACTAAAATGTAATGCAAAACGTAATGAAATGTAGAATACGAAAAAAAATATGGATGTTAACGAAGTAGGTGTTAAAAATGTTCACCGTGAACGTCTTGACAACGTCCTCATCTCAAATAAAACTGTCTTCTAACATTATTTAACATATCAGGCGTGACCGACCTAATCGCAAGCGTTATTCGTTATTTTGAATCATTAAAATCTGAAGGTTTAGTTTTGTACACATTGCTCTTCACATATTCCCATAAAAAGAAATCTAATGATTGACTTGTTAATGTGATGGTGCTCCATCCTGCTGAAACCATATCGTATTCACTGGAACTTGATCCTGATCCTGGATCAGGATATGAATTTGCTAAACTTGGAATGACATCATTTTGAAGTAGTGCCAAATAATTATCGCCATTCAAGTTGCCCTCAATGAAAAAGAGACCAATGATATGGTTTCCTACAATTTATGTCCAAACATTAACCTTTTGAGGGTATTGCGTGCGTTCTTCTCTTATCCAGTGAGGATTTTCCGTTGACCAGTAGCGGCAATTTTGCCGATTAGCATGACCGTTAAGAAACAAAGTACACTCATCAGAAAACATAACGTCTTCTAATAGTCCAGTTTCCAGAGACCCAAAAAGGGGTTTACCTTACAAAAGGTGGCGTAGAAGATTTAATTTTTTTATTTCGTTTTAATGGATATAAAGAGTGAAATATAAAAAATGTGACTGAATCTGGGCTTGGCACAACTTTTGGTAGACGAAAAACCTCGAAATTTTCGGACATTTTTCGGTTTTTTCGCAATATCTCGAAAATGAGTGGTTCTAGCGAAAAACACTCCTCACACAAAGTTGAATTTTTTTGAATTTTTTCTTCTACATCCAATAGGGAGCGAGCTACAGCATCCCAAAGATGGACCATTTTTCTCAAAGATGGACCATTTTTCTCAAAGATGGACCATTTTTCTCAAAATGGTAAAAAAGCCAAATACTGCCTTCTTTTGTGTGTTTTATTGTAACCCATGCATTTCTTGGTTGTATTTTCGAAATAAATTTTGGTCCGATAAGGTTCTCCAGACCTCACCCATCACCCCCAAATTTAATAACTCATGAGGAATGAGTAGGTATTTGTTGAAATGAGGTGGTAGTAAATTCATTCGTCATCTTCATAACAGTAACTCCTTTCTCGAATGAATTCACTACCACCCACTTCTATTGCTGCTGCTCTACATTTACTAAGATCGTTTAACCAAATTCAAAATTGGCTGGATGCCACACACTTAAACCTCAAACATTATGGGTGGACCAGCAGTCTACAGAGCCTGATTCCACAGCATGCAACGAAGGACCCAGCACCCAAAAGCCCACTTGAAAGTGTCTCGTGCACTTGCAGATCTGGATGTCAGCGAGTCTGTTCGTACGTCAAAGCCAGGTTAAAATTCTCCAGCATCTGAAAGAAATGCAGAGTCACCGACCGCGACAATGTCCCACTGTACTCCTCCGACCTGGACACAGATGGTGAGGAAGAGGAAGATGCATTCACCTCATCAACCATGGATGAGGTCTACGAGGACCCACCCATCATGGCACCTGTTCGTGAGGAACCAGGACCGTCGAAACGCCTAACAAAGAAGTGAAGTGAAAGGTTAACTTCTCTTTTCATTGGTCAATTTTTCAATGATTTAATTGTAATCAAATACTTCACTTGTTTAATAAAAGTTTTTCCATACACATATTTTCTCACTCTCTTGTCTCCTTTATTCCTTCAGTTGGTGATTAATTTTGTGATGGGGGCGCTCACAGAAAAGTTCTAGATCATTTTACTTCATTTTCATAACAATAACGCCTATTTCGAATTTTCTTCTAAGCACCATTTTGTGGAAAGAAAACTCTTTTTAATTCCATTCACCATAGTTTTGTTTCACTGTATTGACTTTAGGTCCTGATAAAGCTTCAAAACAATGCGAAAGCTCGGCGAATAGGTTGAAGTGCTTTTTCTCACATTGCATTGGACTGTGAGGGTGTCGATATGCCTACTCATTCCTTGCCAGTTATCAATTTTGGGGTGGGGGTTGGAGAGAGGGGGTTTGTGATGGGAGGAGGGTCTGGAGAACCTTATCGGACCAAAATATTATTCGAAAATACAACCAGTGAATGCATAGGTCGCAATAACACACACAAAAGAAGGCGCTATTTGGCTTTTGTACCATTCTGAGAAAAATGGTCCATCTTTGAGATGAATACTTATTGGTCGTAGAAGAAAAAATTATGAATCGAATTTGTAGGGAATTTGATGCTCTATAACTTTATATAGAAACTGTTTTTCGCTAGAATAATTTTTTTTTCGAAATATTGCGAAAAAACCGAAAAATGTCCGAAAATTTCGAGGTTTTTCGGCTACCAAAAGTTGTGCCGAGCCCAGATTTAGTCACATTTTTTAAATTTTACTCTGTATACCTATTTAAACGAAATGAAAAAATTAAATCTTCTACCCCACCTTTTGTAATGTGAAATTCTCTGAAAATTGGACTATAATTGGATGATATTGTTATTCAACATGTCCATCATTTGCTCACAAAAATAAGTTCTTCTATCAAAATCGTTTTACATGAGCTCCTGAGTAGGTATCATTTTATAGGAATGCATTTTATTTTCTTTTAATATGTTTACTGTCCATGTATGGCTAACATTGAATGTAGTAGATGCCTATCTATTCGATGTATGTGGGTTTTCCTCAAAATCAAGCATCACATCTAATTTGAGTTCATTACTCATTGCAATAGCTTCCTTTTTTTTTCTGTCCTACATGACCAAGCTCGCGAAACTGCTTCTCTATTTTTCTTATTGTTCCTTGAGATATGGGCGGTAAATTAGGAAATTTATCATGAAATAGGCGGCCAGCTACTTCCTGTTGTGTACGGGTTTTATCTCCGTAACCAATCATTTGCAAAACTGTTACTTTATGCATTTTCATTAATCTAACCATTTGTCAGACTAGAAGTTAACGAACTTCAAACTTAAATTCAAATACTGACAACTAATGTTGTAACATACAAAACAAGTTGACAAGGCGTTTTAAACTAACGTTGCCACGGAAATTATTCACAGTTTTTTGAAGGATACCATCTAAAACAGAACTACCCAGAAAAGAACATTGCTATGGTTTTTGGTTACTTTCTTATTATCAACACCTCAACATGAAATAAATTTTGAGTATATTGCAATAAGTTTTGAGGGTATTTTATCGAATTTCGGTAACCATATGATTTTAATTTATTTTATCTTAATTGTTGCAATGAACTTGAAAGCAATAACATTTTTGAATAGAAAATGAGAATATCTTTCAAACGATATATCACAAGCCTATACTTCCCATTAAAAAAATTGGGGGTTGTTGTTGAGGCTGGTAATAATGGACTGTATGTATTTTTTGATTATAAATTTATTTCTTCCCTTTTACAAACAAATATGGCGTGCCTTGTGCACACCATTCTCGAACATCATGTCCTCTTCCCTCCGCCTAGAGGGCGGTAAAAGCGGCTCCTCGAACACTCGAAACAATTTACAAGGTTGCCACGTATTAAATAACTGCAGGGTGTCTTAACAGTTGTATCTGTCATTTGAATGGGGTTGAAGGAAGTGGTAGCATTTTTTCGTTGAAGTATGTCAAATTATAATTTGAATTTGATGTGTATCGGGATTTCGTCAAAATATGTACCGTAACCGAAATAAGGAATTTATTCCATTTGGCTTTTTTTACACATTCTATAAACTCAAAAGAGCAAGAGGCAAGTTTCATATGGAGGACTGTACTGAAACTTATTAACATCAATAGATGTATGAATATATCAAAGTCTTACTGTATTTCGTCCAAGAATTCCGGATTCAGATTATTTTTGATCAGAATATATCCATTCTTCTCATAAAACAATCTTTGAGCGTTTGTGAAAGTAGACTTTTCCTGTGTGTATATCCTGAAAATGAAAATATTATAATTAGTGAAATTTAAAAAGCTTGATAGCTAAAATACATTTAGAAAAAAGGATAATGAAATGCGAATGAGTGCTTGATAGGCTAAAATCACGTGCTTCTTCAATTGAGTAAAAAAACGTAGAAAATGAATTACACAAGTTCTAGTGAGAAGAATCTGCTGAAAAATGTATTCGTGGTTGAGTCTAGCAACACTGATGAGATCTAAGGTTGATCGAAACTGTTTTTGGGTTGTGGATTGAAGAGTTGCCAAGTAGTGAAACCTGTGAAGAAAGGCAGAAGACGAATATTATTCGGAGGTCGATGTCAAAACTTGGCTTCACAACGGACCTTTGTAAGCATCTTTGATAATATACAGGGTGGGGCACCGAAAATGAAACAGATCGAATATCTTCAAAACACATGTTTTCTGAAAAAAATGCATAAACATGTCGATTTGTCATTCAAGGGGGACATTTTTCTATCATAACCTCAACTGTCATATATCTCCCCCAACCGCTCGGTCACTATCAACCAAACAATTTGAATGAGGAAAGTAGTAAGTGTGACACATCATTAAAAAGGTAATTTTATAAGAGATTCGGTCATCTCAATTTCCGCTACCTAACTTTTTATTTTGGCGCCCTCTTGCAGCAAAAAATCTGTTCCGTATTCCAAATTATGATACTTCATTTGCAAGTTAATTTGACATGAATTCGGTGACAATGCATTATGGAATTTCTCTAAGGGAAAAAACAAAATGGGGGCTCCACAATGGCCAACAAGATTTGCAATTATGCTCCGATTTGGTTCAAAAATGATAAGTGGTGGTTTTCACGGTCGGAAATTATGATTTGTTGGTCAATACCTCTCTCCTCTCCACTTATTCACGCATACAATTTGAATAAGAAAAGTACTAAGCGTGATATAGCATTGAAAAGGAACACGCACTTATGATAACCCTTTGCTTGGTTAGTTTGTTTTGTATCACTCTTTGTATCATCAGTACTGATTGATATGCAGTTGTGGTATCATACTCGTATTATCTGGGAATGTTTTTGTGTGAAATGTACGATTGAAACTGCAAATTCTTTTTGATATACATCTTTTTTCGGGCCTTAAATCGTGTCGGTGACAAAATATTATATGAGAAATGAATGTTTCGCGCTAAAAGTTATCCAATAAGGTGGTACTGAGTAGTTTAAGAAAAATATTTTCAGTCCAAAATGTCTAAAGGTACACCTAGGAAGATATTTTTCCAAGTAAGTGGAATTAAATTTCAATAGACTTTCTTATATAATATTGTTTAACATTTATGTGGATTATTTCTGTTGAAATTCAATAACGAATGTTTGGAGTTCAAATTGAATAGGAAAAAGCGATTTTCGTGTGTTTCGATGTACATATATTAGAATGTATGTGTTTCGAATGTGCATTTTCGTCCAGTTTGTATCTGCATGAAACTTTCGTGGATGATCCACACATCTTTGTGGAGAGTTCATTTTGGAACCAATTACTTTTTTTTTGGGAGTTTCTCGCATTTTTGTAGAAAGATAGGAAAGTGTCTAAATAGCTTTCCTAAAAACTCATCTCTCCTATGAATATTCTCTTTTCAATTCAAACGATGATGCACCCAGTTTTTCAAAATGTGCTTTTCGGGGAGTTTCTGTCGGGAGGCGTCAGAAGATTGAAAGACTGTTTTCCATGTTTTACTCTCCCCCTGAGTGGCATACATGAGATTGTAAATATTGAGTGATAAACTGAAGTTCGGGTTCGACCGCGTCTGGTGTTCTCAGTTGTTCGACGTATCGGCTTCGATTTTGAAGTCATTTTCAAAAAAGTATGAATACACTGAGGTTGAGGTCGCAATCTGCCTAGTCCTTAGGTAGTGACACTCTTTGAGGGTTTTGTAACCTAACGCCGGGGTCTCAATCTGCCTACTCGGCAGGTCTCGTCACTGGTCTCGGCTAGGGTATCAATCTACCTACTGTGGGTCCACAGCCCATAGACTCTGGTCTAGTATTCGTGTGCAGGTGTGCGAAATACAGCGGCAGCTCGTCAGAGGAGGCAAGGGAGGCTTAGCCTCCCCATAAAATTTGAGGCTGTACATCGCAATAAATTAAAAGATATTGACAAATAATTATGATTATTTTTTTCTAAAAATGCTTGGGTATCATTACTTTACCATTAATTTTTGATATAAATACATAATATGCCCGAAAAAACACTATCACCCACTACGTAGTACGTACCACACTGTATCCTGCATCAACAAATCTCAAACGCACCGCCCACCCACGAACGAATAACGAAGAAACCATCAACCCAAAATAATAAATGCCATACGTTGATACGATGCAAGGGAGCCAAGCCTCCGACCGCTTTAAAAAACACAACCTTCGCGAGACCGATCCAGCCAGCGACATACGTCCAGATTTGTAATTTTAGTTGCAGAAATTATAACGTTAGAGGAGGCTAGCCTCCAGTTGGTCTTCGTTAGTGTACGACTGCGTTTGTTATTATTCGGACGGAATGTCGTGACGGACCAGGACTGAAAAATATTTCGGTGAATCGTTTTAGTGTTTCTTGATAATATTTGTTATTTGTGTATAAAACAGGCAGTATTGTATTATAGCAGTGCTTTTTGGTAATATTTTTAATGTGTTTTTAAAGTGTTTTCTTTCAACTTCAAGGTGTTTTCAGGTTTTCACTTTTCGGTAAGTTTTTTTTTCATTTAGTATGGATGAGTTGGACGAAATTAAAAAATCTGACGATTGGTTGCTGACAAATAATTTTAAGTCTTCATCTTATGATAATGAATTTTACATTATTAATACTCTGGGAAGGCCTCAACCAAATTTGATTTCAATCAAAGCGTCAGATAATCGACAAAATCGAGGATTTAATATCAGTTGATACGATAAATGCGATTGGTTAACCGGCTCCATTAAACGAGAAAAACTTTTTTGTTGGCCCTGTGTTTTATTTTCTGTACAAACCAAAATCACCAAAAAAGTCACTAAGTTGCAGATGCAATGCAATCGAATTGGGGCGTGTATTATTTTCTTGCAATAGTCTGAAAACTGCGACTGCTGATTGTTTTCTTGCATTCATACTCGCGCAGACGCAAAATTGTATGTTGCAAGCAAAAAATTGCTTGTAAGTGGAGTGACCTCAAGTGTAACAGTATGAACGTGTGTGAATGAAATTGTCTCCGTAAGACTTTTCTGGAAATAATTTCAAAAATTACAAAACTGCTTATTTCTTTTTCGTTAGATCACCCTGTAGGTATCCTTCAAATAATAAGCTCTCGTCCTCAGAGATCTTGAAAGCCGACCTTTTACTTGGAGATAAGGCTGATAACAAATGAAGTTCCTATCGATAATTTCTATCTAGAGATGTTTGTTTTGATCTATTTGTTTTCGAAGATAGAAATTATACCCGTTTCCTCCCAGAACTAAGTATCAATATGGCTACGATGCTATTTGGAGAAACAGTGTACAATTCTGTATTTTTTTCACGAAGGACAAGCATTGCCCAAATATTTATCTTTCTCGACCGGTCTTGCAAAAAAAAGGAAAAATTTTTTTGTAGGACAGGTTGAAGAGAACACTAGTTCAAGTTCATAGGCCAGTTTTTGAGAACGATGACCAAGGCCGTAGCCAAAAAACAATTTCGGGGGGAGTTTGGTTTGATGGAACAGTAGAAAAACATGAAATATAAAAATAAAGTAAGAAAGAAAATTGCGTTACATAATCATATATTTATTAGAAAACCATTACAGATATATTAATATCTTTTTACAAAATCGAATTAAGTTTTTTAGCTTTCTTTGCAGCAAACAAATCAATTACTTCCCCGGTGTCGATGTCAATTCTACGGTGGAGTGACATTAACGCCGAACCGTTTAGTCGTTCCTGACTTGTGGAGTTTCTTAAATAAGTTTTGAGGCGTTTCAGAGAAGAGAGAGTCCTTTCATGGGTACATGTGGAAACAGGTAGTGTCGCCAAGATCTTTGAAGGTTTGTACGCACATTGCCGTAAGGTTTTTCCATTGTGTTTAGGGAAAGTCTTTTTCAATATTCTCTTTCAAGCACTTGGTTCTTTTTCCCAAGGACTTGATAAAATTTCCAACGGATTTCATAATTCCAATAGTATATGTATCTGTAGAGAAAGGAAGGTGAGTGTAGGCCCACAGTACTTAGGCCACATGGGACCCATTGTACATCCTCCCGAGGAGTTGTCCTCCTGTCCTTTCCAGGAAGGTGGACAGGTTACCAGGAGACATCTCCTTTATATCGGCAGGTGTAGGCCAAGACTCGCTGAACACACACTCTCTTATTGACAATGCTTATTGACATAGGCATGTCCTATGCGGACTCGCATATGGCATGCCTGACAGTTTCTTCTTCCTGTTCACACATCCTGCATAGAGGTGTGTCCACTAGCCCCATATTATGGAGGTGTTTTCTTAGTTGACAGTGGCCAGTCAGAAATCCTACTGTTAAGCGTGAATTTTTCCTGGTCATCGCTAAATAATTCTTCGGCGCCAGCTTTCCAGGGTCGCCCAGGGTGATCCTAGCAAGACTGCATCCTTTGATTTCATTTCATCTCTTTAGGGATTGAGCATGGGTGTGACGTTTGGCTAATTCCGCAATTGTCGAAATCATCAGGACGTAGATGGCACTGGGTCCTCAAATTCATAGTCCAGCAGCTTCCTTGGCTGAAGAGTCGGCAATGCGATTACCTTTACTACTGTCGTAATCTTTAATCCACCACCCATTTCTACTTCGAGTTTACACCAGCCGTATAGGTCCAGAGGGGACAGACCAGTAATCAATTAATTTCATTGCCGCGTTTGGTGTTATCCTCATGACTCTTGTGATGTTTAAACAAGCCAATCGTTGTATTTGATATAGTTTTTGGATGGCCGTTGCTTGTAGAACTTTCGGGGGGAATCAATCTCCCTTGATCCAGCCTGGCTACGGCCTTGACGATGACAGATA